TCAGGCAGTCATAAAATGGCGCTCCAAAACCGAAACGAATGGGGCTACATAAAAATTACAACCTTTTTGTGGAACACAGTTTATGAAATTGAATTGTTTGGCAGAAGGAGTTTCCACTCGAAAGTGAACCTTTAACCGAAGACTACTCTTCAGTCTCTTATTTGGAAAAGGTATGCAGACCACTGCCAAAAATAAAACTTACTTTAATCAAGCGGCTCCTCCCATGGGGAATCCCGCCCCGAAAGTCAATCAATAAAATTCCCTTTAATAAAGCCCGAAAAAAAAATACCTGCCCAGGCAGTCGTAAAAAAGCGTTCCAAAAACGATATGAAATATCGTATGCTTCATAAAGATTAAAACCAGCTTCTTTTTCATGTGTGCGTGTGTGTGTGTGTGCGTGTGAGTCTTGTCCCTGTGGCAGATGCAGTAGGAATTTGCCACAAGCACATACACAGAATAAGAGAGCGGCATTGCCGTGCTCGTCCTGCCAACATTTTATTATCCTTGGATGCCGGCACAGACCACAAAGTGTGCGGGCAACAGCTTGGGGGAAGCCTTTCGCAGGATACCTATGAGGCGGCACCAGCCCCCGACTTCCAAGTCGGAGTCGGGAGGGAGGGAGGGAGTCTATGGCTAAGCGGATTTTGCAGAGATCGAGGCGGAGTCTGAGGGGAGCCAAGAACCCAGCAACCAGCAGCCAGCACCCAGCACCGAGCACACAGGACACAGACTGTCTGTCAATAAGCCTTATTCTACAAGATTTCATCTCTCATACCCGTATGAGAATAAATGTGTGGTATGTATATGTCCCTGTCCGCCTTGGCTGGTGCTGATGCTGATGGTGATGGTGAGGTTGCGTGTACTTTTGTGCTTGCCAAAGCTTTTCACAGGCGCGTGTTTATGAATTATTAGCATAAACAATCACACAGATACTCCCAGGCACTCACAGACACCCACACCCACAGACAGGCACCCACAGACAGTCGACGAGCATGGGCGAGAGGGCACTGTGCAAATTCTGATTAAATGTAATGCGCTCAAAGCGCATTCAAAGTTTCGATTGAATTATTAATGGGTCGGGCGCCCATCTGGGGCTGGCCACGGCCGGGTCATTAGCCAGAATGTAGCCAAAAACTGGCCACCAACAATTATGTCCATTATTCAGTATCATATCCACACGCCCGGGTGTCCAGAGTGCACTAAGCTTTCAATGGGATTAGCCATACTTAGCCATACAATGCGTACATGTATGGTGTGCTCACACTCCATTAGAGATCGATGTAAGGGCGGAAATTCATGCAACATTTGGGCGCTTAAATTCTTTGGCTTAAATTTTCGGTGCGGTTTTTCTTAGCCCGTGAGGAACTTTTACCCTTGAGGGCAGATGGAGCATCAACGAAAAAAAGCATTTCCCTTTTACATTATTTATTCGACCCTTGACAGCCTTTTCATATATATTTCATACTTTCTTTTTTACATTTTCTCCGTGTTGAAGCATTTTAATTTTCAACGAGAAAAGTTCCCTCTAAAAAGGAAGAGGCCAGAAGAGGCTTGGGCTGACCTTCGAAGAGAGCTTTGTGTCAGCGGCAAGTTTGATTGATTGGTGGCAGGACAAGGACCAGGGCCCAGAGAAAGCAACCAGCAACCAGCAACCAGCAAGCGCCCAAAAGTCAGGTGAATAGTCAGGTGTCAATCGTAAGCCGCTTCGAAGGGTCCCACGGAAAACAAAAGCGGAATAAAGGCTTTCCCGTGACATTTTCAAGATGTATGGCCTTGTAAATGAGATTGTTGGCGGGCTGCTACCGGTATTCCCTGCCATTTTTAATTGGCTTATAAGTCAAGAGCCGTAAAATGGAATTATTGCCAGGCGGCATGGCGGCATGGAGGCATGGCGGGCGACAGGCAAACAATTCGTTGTTTGGGTAATTGCCAAACTGTGTTTAAAAATGCTTAAATATTGTTTGCCTAATTAAACCAGAGATTTCATGAAAAGTACATCAGAAAAGAGTTCGTGGAACTCGTGGGAAGAGTATTTTTAAGCTTGTTTCACGGGAAGCTCTGAAGGGTTCTTTTTTAATTTCATTGACATATTTCAGATTGTTGAAAAGTCTTTTACTTATTTTGTTTTTATTCCGGAATGTTTTCCCGGGAAAAATTTAATTAGGATTTGAGTGTTTGAGTGACTCGAAAGTATTTCGAATTTCATTTAAAATTGAAGAATATTTTTAGCCACATGTAAAGGAATGTGAAATAATGAATACGCTGGAATATTTCAGGTGCTCATGTGTTCAGGTGTTTGATTTAGAAAGGGCTTCAAAGAGAGGGCTTAAATACTGCCTTTAACCAACATTTAATTGAAGCCTTTCCAGAACAGAGAACAACTTTCAAAGGCCTGTTCTTTCATGGGCATATTCCAAGTCGTTGAATAGTCGAAACACTTTTTTCCCAGCTTACTCGCAAAAGTGTCCTATGCAAAATTTAATTATGCTTCACTTTGAGCCTGAAAGTGTTTGAAACCAACATTTGCGGTGCTCAAACACAGTCTGTTCTGTAACTACAGTTTGGTGTAGTACTTTGCCAGCAAGCTAATCCATGGTCTAGAACAGAGTCTCCCCACGACTAACCGCTCTGCAAAAACCAAACAAACCGGAACCAAAGCCGAGCCAAACACTTTTCTGCACTTGTTTACGGCCCAAAGCGGCGGCATTAAAGCCATCAACGTGGAGCTCCATTGCATGTTTGGGCCACATTCTGGCCTAGGTCTAGAGCACACACACACACACGTATGGAATGGGGCAAAGTAAATTGCTTGACGATTTTCGCGTCATTTTTCTGGCCTCCGCTGGGGCATAACCCCAGCTCTTTCAGGATCCCCGCCACCGCGCGCTGTCTGCACGGTTGGCTGGGCATAAATCACACGAAAGTAGGAATAAATGTTCAATGTTTGTTTGAATGGGGATTTACCACATTCGGTTGCATGCCCCCTCGTAATTCTAGGGCCCATAGCCAGAGCAGGCCAGAGGAAAGGCGAGCAGGGGAGAGGTGTTGTTTGTGATTGGGGATCGGTCCCAGAAATCGACAGTTTATTTATTCATTTTGACAGTTTTATGTACACGCACGAGCGAATCGCCGATTAGGGTGCTTAATTTCATGGTTAATCCGCTACAAATGTCATCTGTCAATGCGATATATGTACAAACAATATACAATAGATTATTGTAAGCCCACACCACACACTCCACCATTCTCACACCCCCTCCCCCAGTCAAGTACTATAAGCCTCTAATTGCAGTTGCATGTCTGTTCTGCTGTGTTGTATCTTAAATATGCAGAAATCCAGGCGTAAATTTGTCAATTGACAATTGGAATTGGTATTCTATGCGGCTGACATTTGACACAGTTTGTTATTGTTGTATGTTTGTTGATTGACAATGACAGCGGCGCCAGTTGATGATTGAAGAATGAGAAGGGAAAGGGGTAGGGGAACGGGTGGGGGTAGGGGCAGGGCGAGTGTTGTTGGCCATGTTTGTGGCACCCTTACACGCACACGCACTCGTGCACACAGATACACAACGATACACAACGGGCACTGAACGAACACTGGGAGACACAATTGATGACAATCGACATTGTTCATGAATATTTAAATTCCTATTGTTGTTTAGGCTGCGGTTGGTTTCCCGCACTGCGTAAACCCTTTTCTCTTATTGCCAAAAACTGCTCCTCCGCCGCTGCCGCTGCCGCTACCACTTCCGCTTCGTTAACGCGTTTGCCGTTTGTCCTCCTGCTGGGAGGACGGCTGTAAAATTACGTTTTTCTGATGGAAAACTCGCGTATTTTCGTTATTTTTGGGGTCTCGCCGTTTACCGTTCTCTTGGCGCGTGTCTCGAGGGCACGTGTCGCACTTCCGCAGCCCCTGAATGCCGTTACAATACTGCTTGGACGAGGTTATGGTCGGAGATCGCGAAGGCTCCCTTCTTCGCGACGAGGCACGAGGACCGGACGCCAACGAGGACGAGCCCAAACACTTACACACTAGAGCAGAGCCGAAGTCGTGCCTGAGTTTCTGTGGGGGCACATATTCGCCGCACTCCGAACGTGAATGAAAGCTTCGCTGAGGCAGGGGTAAAAAGTTTGCTGCCCCTGAACAGGTTGCGAGCTTTAACCCTCCGTGGATATTTAACATTTTTGTTCAGGGCAACAGCTGTAACAGAGCAACAGCGCTGTTAACACTCCAGGTTAACAGCCTGCTAACGCTCCCAGGTACCACTCTCTGGCAGCGCTATCCCGTTAAAGAATGTTCAAGGGTTTTGTGTTTTAGTTGCGGGAAATCAGGTTTCTTCGTGAGAATCAATCAATTATCGGTATCTTGGGTTGCGATATGGTGCCTCCTAGTAGGAGCCACTACTCTGAGTAGCTTTTTTCGGGCTTTCTATGTAGCTCTTTGACCACCTATGGGAGTGTAGTTTCTCATTAAAAATCATCTCTAGCTTCACTTACCAGCAAAAAGCTGTCAGCCAGGAGCTTGGAGCGTGGACGCTCCCTTTTCAGCTTGATGCTCCTTTCCAGGGGGACATAGTATCCGTGGCTCTAGTCCCCGCCAGTAGTTCCCCGCGGTCATTGCTGTCAGCGGTGCGGTCCACGTTGAAGCAGCCCCAATGTCCCCCAAAAGAGCGACCTCCTCGGGACTCAATTGCTTTTTCAAAAGCTTCTGTTTGCAGCAGTCGTCATTGATCAGTGACAACCTCCTTGGCGCACTCTTCGAGGTCCTTACCGCAAGACAGAAACTTAAGTCCCTCGTCGGGATCAGGCAACCCCTAAAACAGGGATGATATTCGTATCGGACCGATACTAATTCTCTCCAACCCTGTTTTTGGACGATGAAATTTGTTTGGGCACAAACAGAGAAAGCAGAGAGCAGGCTTTGATTAGTTTTATAAGGCAGATCCGACGTCAGACTACCTCTAAATCATTTCAATTCACACTCAAAGTATAAACCGACAAAAATTGTAATTCCCAAAAGTGGAAAACGTGATTCTTTGCAAGCTCCTTCCGTACTTCACTTGCGGCGAGGGCGATAATGTTTCGTCAAATAAAGAGCATGTGCGTGGTGACGCGTTCCCTGACTCGCGGTGAGTATTTCCATGTTAATGGCGGAGTCCGTGATGTAATGGCGATGGGGTTCTTCAACCTCCAGGTGAGAAGCGGCTCTTGTCCGTGGCGCCATTGCGCTGGAACAAATATAGTTCCCAAAACGATGCGAAGTCCGAAGAGGGAGGGTCCACCGAGGCGGAACAATTTGGAAACAGGAAGAAGTTGAACCGCCGCGAAGCCTTGAGGAAGATGATGAAGGACAACAGCATCGAGCAACAGCCTGGCGAAGATCAGATTTCTGAGCAGGGTCAGTCAAAACCGTGGCGTTGGTTTCTCCCTTGGGTCCCCCAGCCCAGCTATCGCGGGCCTGAAGTCAAGAAGATGCCCGAGGAGGAGGCCCCCAAGGATGAGAAGAAAGTGAAGCTGAACCGCCGTTTCTATTTAAGACAGATGGGCAAGGACAGCCTGATGAACCCCAAAGTGAAGAAGCCGATCGACGACATGCAAATCGGCTCAATCAAAAGAAAAAGGGAGTTGCTGGATCATTCACGAGTGCAATCCTTGAATCTGAAGTGGAAAGAGCGCCAGAAGGAGATTGAAAAGCGGATGCAGGAGGCTGGCAAGAACAAGTACGTCTCCCGATACGAGATGAACACGGGACGGATGGAGAAGATCAAATAGTCGATCACTCCAAGCCCCTCCCCTAAGCTAGCTCTCTCCGTGACACTCCCTGCACACATACAGTGCATCCTTGAGGAGTTTCAATTGGTAATTGTTCAAATTCTTGTTTTCATGTAGCTAAGAGTCAATACCAGTAAATATACAAATACATTTATATAAAAGACTTTAATCAACAGTCGATTTCTTATAGGATGTGCCTTCTATTACTATAATTGTCATATGAACCAGCTGGGCAGTAATAACTTACAGAATTTTAGACGCAGAAAGTCCACGGATGTTTTGTACTTTTTACTTTATTCTTTACCAACCTCTCCGTCCCTTGAACCCAGCTCCGATGTCTAGTTCTCTTCCGATCTAGTTCTCGCATAATTCGCAGAAGAACTAGAACTATCGGACGATAATTCATATCGATACTTATTCGGATACTTACGATATTTCCTACAAGGTTCATAGAAAACACAATTGTAGATTAACCAGACCTCGCAAATAACGGTTGACACTTTCGGGGTGACTGATAAAAACCTCTCATTGACGGACACATTGAGAAAAGGGACTGAAAAGACCCGATCAAATCAGTTTTTGCTCAACTCCCTCTTCGCTCAAGCAAAGACCGATTTTTTCACTTCTCTTTTGTTCCTGTTTTTCGCTGAGCATCTTGTCGCGAGCGAACGAACAAAGTGTCTTTTGCGTATGTATGCGTGCTTGTGCGTGTGATGCTTGTGGCAACGATCGATCTCGTCGGCAAAAGTCACTCCTTTAACGTATGCGAGCATTAAGTGCGAATGAAAGGCACATAGTATAGTGAGTGTGAGTGAGACGGCAAATGTTGATGTTGATTAACCCTTAACAGGCCCGTGGGGTTTATAATTTTAAAATAAAATGATTTTACTGATATATTAATATTTATGTTTTATGCAGCCATTAATAATTTTTCTTCAACATTTTTAGTTATATAAATTTCTTTATAAATAAGCTAAGGGCGGCCCCATCAAATATTGAAATCAGAAAAAAATTGGGGACAATAAGTTTTTTTCGTACAAAATAAAAAGTGTCCGAATAATTGTTGTGCGTAAATAAGTGGCCTTTTTGATACTTTTAATTTTTTTGATATGCCAAAGAAGGCTTTTTTATTTTTTGATTTGAAATTAGTAGTAGTAATATCTGTTGACGCCCCTTAATACAATATAGGATTAAATTACTTTATAAAGGTTAACAATTTGAATATTTGAATTAATATTTAAATATTACTAAAAATGTGAATTAATTTGAAGTTGGCGCAATACATTATGTACATATAAAGAAGCGCAATCGATACCAATAGTATCGAGCCAAAACGATCTGAATTATGATTTCTAGATTTAAGAGATTACGAAATAAAACGAACGAGCAAGGAACTACATCGAGCGGATTAAGGAAGGTCTTAATTGTGTAGACGGATTCCACTGGAAAACTGTTGGAGGGACTTAGCTCGTACATTTGATATCCATGTTCATAATGAAATAAAAAAATGTTTGTCAAACTTAAATACTTTTCAAGTTATTTATAAAGAAAGTTGATATAGACGAGTGTCCGAATAAATGTTGTGCTGACTGTATGCTATTTATATAATATGCAATATGTAATTTGTTTGTTGTCGGGACATAAGGGTTAAGAATATATGTATAAAAAAAATCGTCAAGTCAAAAAATCAACACGAACGAACTTCGGCTCCCGACGAGACCACTTTGTATAATTGCATCATGTTTTATACGGTTTGACTATTAGAGCTTAAAATGAATCGTGAAAAACAAAACGAAAATATTCGTTTTCCCATTTTGCAAATAAATATACATATTACAATACAATAGCCCAAAAGATGCGGAAAACATGAATAAAAATAAACATATACACGAAAAAAAACCAAAAACAGACACAGATACTCACACACTTTTTTGGTTCGGCTCATCTAAACACACTTTTGCTGTGAGCGCTTGACCAAAGTGCCTCTCCAAGTTGTTATTGTGAGACACGATCGTGTGTCGGGCTCAACCGAAAACACGAAGCACAACACAAGCGAAGAGACAAAAAGTGTTCGGCTCAGTAAGAGACCGTGTCGGCGTGGTCTTTTTCTGTTTTGTCTGTTTTGACGAGACAGCAAAGGGAAAAAGTGTCGACCGTTGTTTGCGAGCTATGAGATTAGCAGCAAGGCAAATACAAATGTAGGGTTATAATACTAAAACAACCTAACAGAATCAATAATTTTGCATGTATGCTTCCCAACCACACCCTTACAACATTTATTAATGTAGACGTATAAAAACTACACAAAAGAAACAAAATGAAAGAACGAATCCGTCAAATCGCGCTTAAATCTTATATCGTTGCACTTCCTTTCATTAATAATTATGATATACGAATTTTCTAGATCATATTCATATAAGATCATTTGCTACTCCGAGCTACGGCGCTCTCCCAGGGCATCAACCAGTTTACGAATAAAGTCCCAAGCCCAAGGTTACATCGAAATAAAGTTCGAGATACTTCGGGGCTATATGGAAAGACCCACAAAACATTAAACACCGCCCCACTTGTCGTATCACCGTTAACATACTAAGTTTTGTTTCCTTTTAAAGACGCAATTAATAATTCTAATTTGCTTTCCAATGACTTTGTACTTGACTTTTCCATTTTTGGAAGTCTCCGGGAACATGTTAAAATAGCGATGGATGATGAACAGCCCCAATTGTCGTGTCTTGATGAGGACATAGAATCATCGAATCTGTTCGAGTCGTGTATTAAAGAGGACCACCTGACCACCAACCAACAGCCCCCCACTTGTCGTATCCATCTGGAGCGCTGGACCGGCTGGTTGGTCCATTCCCTTTAGATGCCGATGACATAGAAGGTGTATAGTGTGGCAATTACATTGGAGCAGGTGCACCAGTATTTTCTTCCTGATGAAGTCGAGATGAACGAAATTGACATGGTAATGCTGCTCGCCTTCGAGCGAGCAACATACTGCACTAAATTAAACGCCCTAAAAAACTTCCCGGAGCAACATGACGTCAATTCTGAAGGAATACAGCGATTCCGAATTTGCTATTTACATGGACGAATACCATATGCCATGGTACCAGCATTCCAAACAGATCAGGAAAATCACGAAAAGTTCTGGCAGTCGCTGCAATTCGAATTGACGGAACGGCCATGCATTATGTGTACTTCCATGTTTCTAAAGTAACACAAAAATCCATTTTGGGCTCCATCGTGGTCAAGAAGCCAATATCATGACCCGCCAGACTTTGAATGACGAATTCCCCATATTGTGGGACCTGCCCCACCTGGAAAAAGTCTTAAGCAAGACTTTTGTACATTACTACTTTAGTGTAAAATACAAAATATTGACTAAGACATTAGAAAATATTTTGTAGAATTAAGAGTATAGTTAGTATTAGTGATATATCATATATATCATAAATGATATATGCCAATTTTTCAGCGTGTAGAATATTTTCGCATTGACGGCAATCCCTGGAAATTTTCCATAAAGAGAGAAATAATTTCCTTATTTTCTTTCGAGGATATTTTCATTTCCCTGTTTGCACTGCTTAAAATTAAAAAGTATGTTTGCAAAATTCCCTCTGCTTGAAATTCAGAAAGTACCCTTCTGCGATGTTTTTTGTGGTGTACTTTTATCCGATTTTCCCTACTTTCACTGCTGTCCTTCAGTGCTAAAACATCCCTATTATATGCCGTCCCAATATTATATTACAAGCAAGCAGTGGGTATTGGGAAAATCAAGCAGTTTTCGGATGAAAAAGCGCCATAAAGCCACTGTTAAGCAGGCGAAACTGTTCGTCGAATTTGTTGCGTCGTCGAAAATTCGACTGTGGATGACCGTTTTCTAAACAAATGTTTATGTTGTTACGTTGTGAAACTTAAAGCGCCATATTTCGAGGTAAAAGCATACGATAATAACATGAAAAATATTGCAGTCGCCTATTGGCGCGTGATTTGGCCACACCACAAATAAGCACTTGATGTTTGTTAAGAATAACATGAACATACACCCTCGCGGAACAGAGGGCTTTGCAGCAGCGGCTGCAAGAAATTAACATGCAAAGACAACCGCCGCAACCGCCGCTGCCACCACCGGCAACGCGCTCTCTTTTCAGAAAAATGCGTTCATCTCTCTCCCATCCAACATCAAATAAGACCCGAAAAGCGTTTACCGACCACCTTGTATAATTTCAAGACAAATTTAAAATAAAAGCTTTGGAAAAACCATTGAGACTGGTTTGATATCTAATAATTATATATTTTGGTTGAATTATTGTAAAATGGGAATTTTTCATATATTTAACTGTAAAACGGGCAAACCCATTGGGACTTGCAGATCTCGTCAGCGACGCTACGCTTCGATTGGTGTTAGCTCTTTCGTTCTTCCGATCGAACATCTCAAAGAGGCTGCTTATAAGGTCATTTTGAGGACTTTGAGACCTTGGAGAACACCCTAAAAAACTTCCACGAGCAACATGACGTCAATTCTGAAGGATTCCCAAACAGATCAGGAAAATCACGAAAATTTCTGGCAGTCGCTGCAATTCGAATTGACGGGACGGCCAGGCCGAGCCCCTGCAGGCCGCCTTGCCTAGAAATTAGTTTAAGGCCATGATCCGGCTATAATAGTGATTTTCCAATCTGTTATATATGCACGATTATTTCCTTGTGATACGAGACTGAGAAACAGACGGAATAAGTATAGTGTGTACTCTTCTGTGATATTAACATACAAAGACAACCACCGCAACCGTTCTGAACCATGGATTAATGGGTTTTTTTCAAAAACAAGTACTAGAAAAAGATTTAAGGAATAAAAATATATCAAAAACCTTAAGGGACTGACTTTTTCCGACGGGACCACCTTGAATACTTGCATCATGGGCTCCGCCTGCAATCTGCAGTCGCAGACGCGAAGTAAGAGTACCAGTAAAACCGAGTCAATATGTTTAAAAACCAATGAATTAGTGTAATCTTAGGTGGTATTTGCAAATACCATTTGCAGAAAATAAAATAAAATCCGGGAAGAGACCCTCGCGGGACAAAGGGCCGTGCAGGACTAGCTACAAGATATTAACATGCAGACAGCCCTGAATCCTTCATTAATGGGTGTGCTACATTGGCAGGTTC